TTTTGTAACAGGGAGAATTAATTAAGCACAAATAATAAGTTGACACGTCATCATCTAGGGTCGGCAGAACCTCCTCCTTAAATACCGCCCCTGATTACCACTAATTACCATTTGATGATTTCTCGCTCATTTAAAATATATATTAAAAGTTACATTATTTTCCATATTTATATTTTGGTACGATGATTTCCAAAATTTATATATTAGGTATATTTATTTATTTATTTATTGTCACACCAAATATTTCCAGCAGTTATTATTATTTAAAAAAAAAAAAAACCGGCCCACATCATACCAACCAATCAACAATTGCCATTGAGTCGATTGTACGCAAAGCACAAAACTCACTATAACACGTGTCAGCCAGCCTGGCAATGTGGGACCCACAGAACCCACCTAATGTTTCTAAAACTATCCGGAAAAGCAACGACAAGGAACACAATAAAGTTTAAACAAAACAATATTTTCCAGCCACCACAATGGACATTATTTTTATTTTTATTTGTTCTATAATAATTAATATATTTTTATTTTTGATAAAATTTATTAAATCAAAACATATTTAACAAATACTTAATCTGGCCCATATGACGTGTCTGTTACACCGTAGACATAGGAATTTAACAGGAGTGTAATTAACAGATAATTAAGAATATATTAGTGAAAATAATTATTCTATAATATAAATAATTATAAATTAAGATTAAGATAACTAATTATTTTAATTAAAATTAAAAAAATAAATTAAAAAGTTTAAAATGAGATTAAAGTGAGTAATCATTTTCCAAGAAAGGAAAGTGACATGGAATGTAGGACGCACAGAAACGGCAACATGGATATGGTATGTGGGACGTAGGGAATATAAATCAACTTAATTAACTACATAAAATACAACATTATAAATGACATAGGATCCACTCAAAACTCTTTTATTCCTATATTTCTCCTCAAAAAATAAATATTTTTATCTATATTTAAAACTACACATCTTTTATAAAATTGATTTATGTTCATTATAAATAAACAAAAATATTTTTTTTTTATTTACTTGTATTATAGGAAGTTTTATTATTTACTAAATGATATCCGTATTGCATATATTTTTTAATTGCTATATAATTTTTAAATATTTAAATATATATTTTAATTTTTTTATTATATATATATATATTAAATTTACTTTAAAATTATAAATATTATTATTTACAAAAAAAATAATATAATAATATCATAACTCATTATTATTAACTAATTAAATATCTTTACCTTAAATACCGTGTTCCTAATCAAATAGTTCAATTCGAGTAGGACGGAGAGTTCAAATATAATTTAGGGGGTGTTTGGCAAATAGCTTTTTAAAGAGCTTTTAGCTTATTGAACAGTTTTTAGCTGTTTGACAAGTCAAAAAGCTAATTTAGGTGTTTGGTAAATTAGTTTTTTGGAATAGCTGTTTGGACCCAAAAATCTAATTTCTGAAAAGCTAACTTACCCAACGTTTTGAAATAGCTTTTTCTGTAAAAATTTTTTTATTCCTTATATGCCCTTAAAAATTTATTATAAATTTTAGACAAATAAATATATTTTGATTATTTATTAATTATATTAGAATATTTTATTATATTATAGTTTTACTTTTATAAATTTAAAATAATTGATTTTTATATAAAAATTATTTTAATTGTAAAATATATAAATTTATTAAAATCAACATAAAATAAAAAATATAAATATTAATAATTTATTTTTTTTATTAAAATTATATTATATAAATTTTATACTAAAAATAAATTAAATAAATTAAATTTATTGAAAATTATAAATATAATAAACTAATCGATAACTAACATAATAAATATATACACGAAAAATTTATTATTTTATATTTTACATCATTTTTAATAAAAAACTATTTATATATTTTAATAAAAATATACTCCCTCCGTCCATGGCTAAAGTATACATTTACTTTTGGCGCGGAGTTTAAGAAATAATAGTATTTTAATTATAGTGGGTAGGTAAAAGTAGTGTAATGACAATTTTGCCCTTGCTTTTTGGTATAAAAGTAATGATGTGATATAAAGTAAGAGTATTTATGGAAAAAAGTGGGTATTTAATGAAATTGTTACTTTGTAATTGGACGTCCCAAAATAGAAATATGTATACTTTATAGTATTTTTTAAATCTAACTATAATAAAAATAAATACTTTTAATAACACTATTACAATGTTCAATAACTAATAACAAAAAATTTTAAACATTCTAAACTCGAAAGAACATAATCGAATATATTAGAAACAAGAATAAAATAGAAATGTCCTCAATTGTCATTTTACGTATAAACAGCTAATATCAAACAGTTGTTTTACCAAACATTTTAATATAAACAGCTAATCGAATCAGCTAGTCAAACCAGCTAATTGAATTAGCTAACAGATATCAGCTAATTGAATAAGCTAACAGCTAATTGCCAAACACGCCCTTAGAGCATTTGTTACGGTCACATTCTTTATTGTCTTTTGATTACCCTTTTAGTTTTTACTATAATAATTGATTACATTTCTCATTATCTTTAAAAAAAAATATTCAATATTTATTCCCTTTTTAATAACGGGTTACTTTCAACAAAAAAAAATTAAAAAAATAAATAAATTTCAAAATTTTAAATTTAACAAAATTTATCAATAAATATATATATTGATTTATTCAAATAATTTAACTTTTAAAATAGTAAATTTTATTCATATATATTAAAATTTATATAGATTAATATTTAAAAATTTAAAAATAATATTATATAAAAATATTATTAGACAATAAAAATATATAAAAATAAATAAATAAACTAATCTTATGTAATAAAAATATATAAAAATAAATAAATTATTGTGGATCCTATAAAATAGTAAAAATAACGTTATAAAGGTGATTAATATAACGGATAATAAATAAAATAATTTGAATATTGAGATGAATATGACGTGGATAAGAGAGATAAAAAAAAAAATGAAATAGAGACGATCACCGTAACAGAAAATTGTAGAAAATTTTTTATTATTTTAAAATTGCATTAAATTTTCTTCTGTTTTTAACTCACATTCATTCATTAATTAACAGTGATTTTATAGTTATGAAAATTTCGAATTATTTTGACAGAAGTTTTTAAGTTTATAAAAAATTCGAGACAATTTTATTACTACGAGGGATTTAATGTAAGTTTTATAAATCATTAGTGAATTTTATATTGTTTTACATAAGATTCACGGTATGTGTTTGTTCGGATGTTTGAATTTTGAGTTTGGATTAAATAGTAAAAATTTTAAATTTAAATAGTTGTATGATGCGATATAAATAAGTGTTGATGTTATGTTTTGAATGTAAAATTGATTTCTAGTATAATATAAAAAATAAAAAATAAATGTTTGATTTAATATTTTTGGAGGAAAAAAATGAGATGAATCCAATCCCCCAAACAAACACTTGATTTGCATTTCAAATAAAAATTTTTATTATTCAATGCATACTATTTCAGTATAAATATAAATATTGCATTTTAATTATTGTTAAAATCAATTTATTTTAGATCATTTTTTATTTGTTTTGATCTCTTCTAAAATTAAATTATACTTATTCCGTCCCAATACAATAGTCTTATTTACTAATTTTTCCGTTCCAAAATAATAGTTTTATTTCCATAAATAACCATATCACCGTAAAATTACCATATTTTTTTATTTTTATTACACAATTGCCATTACTTTTTACACTAATACACTCACAAAGCAAAAAAGTCTTTTATCCATAATTTTTACCAACTACCAATATAATATCAATATTTTTTAATCTCGTGCCAAATCCAATTAAAACTATATTTATGAGACGAATTAAATATATATTTTTTTGTTATTTTTACTTTCTACATAATATTAGAATATTTTACATTTTACATAAATATAATCAACTTACATATACGATAATTATAAATTTGATACTCTCTCCGTTCTATATTACCTCTTTGTTTTTTACACGAAATTTTACAAATATTAGTATTATATTAAAATGTAGTAAAAATAAATGTAAACAAAAAATTAATCTTATTAGTATTGTATAATATAAATGTAATAAAATTTGTGTAATAGTAGTATATTGTAAATTGAAAGGATATTTATAACGTTAGGTAGATAGTACAATACTAAAAATAAAAATGAATATTTTATTACGAGACAGACCAAAATTAAAAAAAAAAAATTTGTTAGAAATGTTAGGTAGATAGTACAATGCTAAAAATAAAAATAATTTTTTTATTACGAGAGAAACCAAATTTTTTTTTAAAAAAATAATAATTTATTAAAGACAGAGGGAGTAGTACAATTGTTCATTCACTTATATGTTATATTACATACATACTGGACCCATGGAGTATTTTCTTTAATTAAACTATACTATTTTTTATATATAATATTATATCAAAATACTATTTAAATAAGAATTTATATGAGTTTCATATTTTAAATTTATTTTAAATTATATTTTATTCATCCATTTTTAAGAGTTACATTTTTTTTTGATTATATTTAATATTAAAAATATTTTTATATTTATATAATTTTTTTTATAAAATATTATACTAGATATTAATAAAAATATTTTTATAATTATTAATATTTAAAAATCAACACGTCAGAAAATAATCGAGACCTTTAAAACTAGCCATATATATATATAAAAACCCAATTTTATTTATTATAAAAAAGCTAATAAAGCCGAAATAGAAATGAGATCTGAGATCCTAGGGTCCCGGCCTCGGCCTCGGCCCGCTAAGCACGTGCTAAGCAGGTGATGCTTTTTATTGTTCTCTTTTATTTTATTTAATTTTATTTATCGTAGAATGGGAGGAACCCTTCCTCGAGGCCCTCGTTAATATATTAATTTTTAATTAATTATATATTTAAATATTCGGTGAATTTCTGAGGTATAAATACTCCCAAAGCCAAAGCCAAACAGGCATGCACTCCTCTGTCGATGCTAGAGAGAGAGAGAGAGAGAGGAGAGAGAAAGCAACGCGGAGAAGCTTTCGAGAGCTACAGATTACAGATCCTGTCGTTCCTCTCTAATTTCGGCCTTTAATTGCGGTTTTTTGACCGTTTTTGGGCATTTGGCGAAGGATTTGGAGTGGAGGTCGAGTATGGAGTGGCCGAGGTACTTGGATGAATACGAGAAGCTTGTCATTCGAATGTCGACTCCGCGGTTAGTCTTCGCTTATCGTTTTGCTGGCTGTTTATTTAATTTACTTATCCTTTTTTATATTAGGTTGCTGTTTGTGACTGTGTTGGTTGTGTTTTCTCCGAATTCTGCTTTTCTGGTTCAGTGATTTTGTGTTCCTTAGACTAAAATGGAAGTTAATGTTGCCTAGAGTTTCAATTTCTCCATTGTTTTGAATTTCGCTTTACTTGCAGTGGGAGGAACTTGTGTTTTTCGTGAAATTAGGAAAATGTTGATAATTTAGGGTTCTTAGCTCCAATCGCTGAAATATGAGCTGTGTAATACCTTCCTGAATCACTTCGAGTAATTTAGTAGAACATCGAAATATTGCACTCGACGCGGAGAATACTTTTCCACAATTTCTGCATCTGTGCTTGTTCTTCCCAATTTTCCGTTTCTATGGACAGTAATTAATGTTCTCATGAACAAAACTTTCCATTTTCTGTTAGTGACAGTTTTCCACTCAAAGTTTCCCACTAATCACCAAATTAACTATATATATATATATATTAATTACACATACTAATTTTCCCTTGCGTGCAAGTTACTCTGAACCCTACCCATATTCAGCCTTAAATCGTTTTTTCTCTGGCCCCTGGAAAATTTTTATTTAACTTTTAGCCACATCTTTGGTGTGTATGTGAAGTTACTACTGTTTTCTGCATCTCATTTTTATCCGTCGACATCTTGTAGGGTCATGATTGACAATGCTGGCTGCGCCGATTCGACCCGCGTCATGGTATGTGGCCATTTTCGAAGCCCTGCGTCATCCTTGCCTCAAATTCACGGCTTAGTTATTTAATTTCATCAAAATTCTTATATTATTAGCATTGACTTCTGTCTTTTTTTTTTTGCATAAATGATTTGACAGATTGATAGCGCAAGAAGGCATGGAATTCTTCTAGAAGCAGTTCAAATTTTGATGGATTTGAATCTGTCGATCAAGAAAGCTTATATTTCCTCAGACGGCCGGTGGTTCATGGATGGTGAGAATCCATAATTCACCTTTCTTGCCAATGGCTTTCATGTTCATTTAACCTTTAGATGAATAAATAAATGTGTCTATTTGCTCTTGTAATTGCAGTTTTTCATGTCACCGACTTGAATGGAAACAAATTAACTGATGACAGCATCCTGAGTTACATTGAGCAGGTAACAAATTTATAAAATAAACCTTCATTTTTATGTGATTGCTTGAATCAACTGAAGTTTTTTTTGCAGTCACTAGAGACTGCTCATTATGGGAGATCGAAAAGCTTCGAGGGTCTAACAGCACTAGAACTGACGGGGACAGATCGTGTCGGGCTATTATCCGAGGTGTTTGCAGTACTCTCCAATCTGCACTGCAATGTGGTCGATGCAAAAGTGTGGACTCACAACGGTCGTATTGCATCCTTAATCTACCTTAAAGATGATTTAGGCTGTCCAATCGAAGACCCTGAGAAGTTAGATGTGATTGAGTCGATGTTGAGGAATGTGCTCAAGGGGGATAATGATATCCGGAGCGCCAAAACCTCCGTGTCTTTGAGCGCCACCACACACGCCGAAAGAAGGCTTCATCAGATGATGTTTGCTGATCGGGATTACGAGCGGAGTCCGATCATCAAGCCCCGCGACGCCCCCCCTGACGTATTGGTTCAAAATGATCTGCAGAGGGATTATTCTGTCGTAAATATTCATTGCAAGGATCGGATTAAGCTTCTGTTTGATGTTGTCTGCACTCTGACAGACATGGAATACGTCGTTTTTCATGCCACCGTCGACACATCCGGCGATGAAGCATCATTGGTACGTATACATTAGAGCTCTAAATGAGTTGATCTCGGCTCGTGTTCATTCGTTAACAGATACGAGCTGAAATTTTTGTTTGAACTTAGCTCGTTTAACAATTTTTTTCCGGCTCGGCTCGGCGCGAACGCTTGTGAACAAGCTCGAGCTCGTCGTGAATATAACGAGCCAAAATTTATGTTCGTGTTTGGCTTGTTTAGCTAAACGAACAAGCTTGTAGCGAACTCAAATGAGTCGAACTGAGCCAAGTTTGCGAACTGTTTATTTGTTTTACAGCTCTAGTATACATATATATATAGGTATGTATGTGTTCCTTATTAGATTTTCTTTACGATTAGTGACTCATTGTGTTCGAATTACTCGAAAACTTTGTCCAGGAATTCTTCATCAAACACATGGACGGAACACCGATCAGTTCCGAAGCCGAGAAACAGCGAGTGATTCTCTGCTTACAGGCTGCAATTAAAAGGAGGGCATCTCAGGTTTGCAGGTTCCATCAAAGATTCAATTTTTATTCTGCGATCGTAAATTTAAATATTGAATAATCCCGTCGAACAACAGGGCGTGAGGCTCGAGCTGTGCGCGTCCGACAGAGAGGGCCTCCTGGCCGACGTAACACGAACGTTCCGGGAAAACGGCCTGAACGTAACGATGGCTGAAATCTCCACAAAGCTTGACCGAGCGGTGAACATATTCTACGTGACGGATGCGAGTGGGAACCCGGGCGATCCAAAGATGATCGAATCGGTGAGACGAATGATCGGGTTTAGTAACTTGATTGTGAAGGAGCTGCCGTCGATCCGCCACCGGCCGAAGGGTGATCGACAGAGCGATGACGGCGGCAGTGGCGGCGGCGGCGGGGCGATGCTGCTGTCGCTGGGAAGCATGGTAAGAAGGAATCTATACAATCTGGGTTTGATCAAATCTTATTCTTGATGATCATATCATATCATATGCTATGGTTGTTTTTAGGTTTACAATTTCTCTATTATTTGGCTATGTACATAGTGTAGTGTTAGGACATGCGATTGGGGGATTGATAATAGGGGTAATATGGTAATTTGAATACAAACACACAGTGGAGGTGGATAGATTTTGAGTGGGGCCCACCTCCCCAAACATTTGTTAATGGGAATTTGGTTGGTTAGGTTTTGTTGGTGTTCTTATTGGTGGGTTAGTTAGTTAGTTAGTTGAGAATTTTCAAGAGTAGAATGTGAAACCGGAGAGAGAGAGAGAGAGAGAGAGAGAGAGAGAGAGAGAGAGATGTGTTGTGGGGTTTGTACATAATTTTGTTGATTTTGAATCGAATCGAATTTGAATTTTAGCTTTTTCTTGTGATATGCATTGTTGAAAGAAAAGTCGCTTTAATTTGTCATTTACATCATTTAAGCAGTCTTAGGTCCCTATTGGTCGTGTGTTGGTTGAAGTTACGATGGATTGGTATGGTTATTAATTATAACAATGTGCCATGTGTTTATGATGAAAGCAAGATTTTTATTTAATTTGAATAAATGAAAAGGTAGCTTGGTGGGTAGGTAGGTAAAGAGGGGTGGGGTGGGATATTTATTTATTATTATTGATCACGGGGGTTGAGAAATTAGGCCAATTGAAAAAAATTTGAAACTTTAAATGATAAATTTGATCAAGAAAGCATTGTCAATGTTCAAATCTTCACTCTGCCACCGATCGTCAGATACATTTAAATAGCTTTACTTTCTATTTAAGTTTGTTTTAATTTTTTTTTTAATATTATATGTGATTTTTTTCAATTTATTAATGGATGAGTTTGACCATTAGTTGATACATGTTACTTGTTGACTGATTCAATGAGATGAAAGTGTTTGGTAAAAAAAAAAAAAAATAAACTGTTTGACATTAGCTATTTATACTTAAAATGACAATTAATGACATTGTTATGTTATTTTTTAAAATATTTAATTTTGTTAATTTTGGTTTAAAATTTATAAGAATTTTTGTTATTGATTATTGAAATTATAAAAATATTATTTTTATTTTTTAGATTTGAGAAAAAAATTATTAGAAAACAAATAATAATTTTTTATTAAAATTGTGTAAAATATAAAATAATAAATCTTTCGTATATATATTTTTATTATACTAATTATTGTTTTATTAATTTTTAATGTAAAATTTATATAATAAAAAAATATGTAAATTTATATGTAATAATTAATAATAGTAATTATTTTAAAATTACAAAAATAAAATTATAATTTAATAAATTAAATATATTAAAAATAAATAATAAATGATGCAATAAAAATATATCTATATGTATGAAATGAATAATAATTTTTTTAAGTATAAATAAGAAATAAATAAAATTAAAGTGCAAAACCTTTTCTAAAATGCTCGTATATTAGTTTTTGGGTCCAATTTTATTTTATTTTATTTTTTTCAAAAAACTAATTTAACAAAACACATAAATTAATTTTTTGACTAACTATACAACTAAAAACTGTTTATTCCCCAAACGATATATGAGGTAGTATATTTAATTTGAATAGTAAAAAGATATATAATACTCTTTTTTTTTTTTTTTTTTTTCATAACAATTGACATATTTTTCATTTTAGTGAGGTTGACGGATTTATGTTTTTTAATAAATTTATCAATATTAAATATATTTAATAAATATGAATAACATACTTAAAATTTTAATATCTTATATATAAAACCACTTAAAAAATCTTTTATTTCTATCTTTTAAATTTATAATATTTTCGACCAACTCAAAATTATTTTATTTTTATCTCTCTTTAATAAACAAATATTTTTATTCTAACTTTAATTTTTTTTTATAAAATTATTTTATATTAACTATAAATAAATAAAATTTTCATTTAATTGTATAATAAGAGTATAAAATTTAGTTTTTTTTACAAAATAGTTACTATATTATATATATTTTTATTAAAATAACACTATTTAAGATATTTAAACATATACTCCCTCCGTCCCACATGCCACGTCCACGTTGCCGTTTCTGTCCGTTCCACGTTCCATGTCACTTTTATTTTTTGGAAAATGATTATACACTTTAATCTCATTTTAAACTTTTTAATTTTTAATTTTTTTTAACTTTAATTAAACTAATTTAGTTATCTTAATCTTAATTTATAATTATTTATATTATCGGATAATTATTTTTACTAATACATTCTTAATTCTCTACTAATTACACCTCTCCTAAAATACCGTGTGTAGCAGACATGTACGTAGGACAGAGGGAGTATTATATTAATTTTTATTTTAAATATCAATATCACCATTCACGTAAAAAAAAATTAAATATCGTATATTATTTCGATTCTTAAATGAGTTGATCTCTTATCACCATTTTAGCTCCAATCCGAAAATCAACTGTGTTATGCAGAATTGAGAGGGGGGATGGGATCCACAAAAAAATTATTATTAAAAAATATACATTTGTATTTAAATTTAAATTTATTTAAACTTGAAAATAGTACTCCACAAAAAAATTATTATTAAAAAATATACATTTGTATTTAAATTTAAATTTATTTAAACTTAAAAATAGTACTCCCTCCGTCCGTCTCTCATTTATCTTTTTGTCACTATATTTAACACTAAAAATATTCTTATATTTGTATAATTTTATTTTATTTTATTTATTTATTTTTTATAAAAGTCCTTCTATTAATATTACAAGACACTAATATAAATATTTTTGCATTTTTTTTAATTTGTACTATATTTTGATATAATAATTAATATTTAAAGATCAACATATAAAAAAAGTAAATGAACCCTTAGAGTCGGACGTAAGTAATATATGTTATAAAATTATTTAGCAAATAAAATTAAAATACAAAAGCATATTGCATCTTCCTTCATTACTACCTCAATTGTTTGATTTAACTGCAAACAATATCTTAATGTTACAGATAAACTTTTGAACTATATATATTAACAAGAAATTTAAGAAAAGACTTATAATATCCATTTTTTAAGCTCCACTGGATTTTCAAGTTTTCATTTTCTTGATACAAGCAAGTAACTTTCGAAGAGCTTTCTCCATGACTTTGATCCGATTTTGTACAAATCTTGCACTACGTATCTCCCAATCATGACTTTTAGTTTGTTCGTATGCATCAGTGATTCGATTCCAAAATTGATCATTGGATTGTTGTCTTCCGGTAATTGGATCTTGCGAAATATCTAAATAATGTTGGCATAGCAACACATCTTCATCATGACTATAACCACCACCTCGGATGGACATTGTGAGAAAAGTTTTTAATAAAATTTTGTTATATTATAATGAGAAGTGAGTTATTCTGGTGCAATGATTCAAATGGTGGAGAAATATGTTTATAGACAAATCTTGGATAGATATCAAATCTTATCCATTGAAAAACTTATCTCAAATGTGCATTTACATTTCACAACACCCGAACCATTGGATCAAAATATTTTTTTGACCAATCTCAATTGTTTATATTATATTTGACTATATATATACATATATATTATAAAAATCTACTTATCTATATCAAAACAATCCGAACCGTTCGTTTGGATATTATTTTCATCTTATGGATGAATATTTATATTATTCAAATAATTATTATATATTATAAATTATAAAAATCTACTTATTTATGTCAGAGTAGGATCGTCATTTTGAATTTCATCTTCATTTCATCCGTTGGATGAATATATATTATTCAAATAATTATTATATATTATAAATTATAAAAAACTATTTATCCATGTCAGAGCAATCTTGATCGTTTGTTTGAATTTCATATTCATTTCATCCGTTGGATGAATATATATTATCCAAATAATTATCATATATTTATATTTTATCTAAAATTTTCATTCTATAAATTATTGGGCATTCAACGCAAATTTATTCATCATACATATATTCACCTATCAAAACAATATTATTTCTTCAGTACGAGTAACTCTTCATCGTCAGATAATAAAAAAGTTAGTAGAATTTTTATAGAGTCCATTCAAGAAGATGAAGCAACAATCTCCACACTGATGTAAAATAATGTTTATCTAGAACAGTTACTCAATCTCTCTCAATCAACCTATCGAGGCTCTATCCCAAATCATCAAGTAATTAATTGTGATCGTGAAAGTTTAGATCATAATTTATATAATTATTATTTTTCAAATAATCATTTATATAACGAGCAAATATTTCATCAGCGATTTCGAATATCTCGAAGTCTGTTTTTTCATATTGTTGATGCATTTAAATATCATGATCCGTATTTTCAACGAATAGATGGTTTTGATAGACTTGGCTTGTCAACTTTAAAAAAGGTAACTGCTATTTTTCGGTTGTTAGCTATGGTGTACCTGCAGATTCAACTGACGAATACATTAAAATTGGTGAATCAAGGACAAATGCAAGTTTAAGAGATATTGTCATGCCGTCGTTGAAATTTTTTTAACTGAATATCTTCGATATCTTAATGCTAATGATATTGCAAGGTTGCTTCATATTGGAAAATTTTGTGGTTTTTCAGGTATGTTGAGCAATTTAGATTGTATGTGTTGGAAATGAAAAAAATTATCCTACGGCTTTCGCAAGTCAATATGCAAGTCGTAGTGGATCACCAACTATTATTGTCGAAGTTGTGGTTGATTATATAATCTTTGGATTTGACATGCATATTTTGGTATGTTAGATGCCAATAATGATATTAATATTTTAGAATTCTGGCATTTGTTTTCAAATCTTGTTCTAGGTATTGCTCCTCATGCACATTATATCCTTCAAGGAAAATAATACAATATTGAGTATTTTCTAGTTGATGATATTTATCCTAAGTGAGTTAATCTTGTGCAAACTATTCGTGATCCACGAGGTTCAAAGAAAGGACTTTTTGCTCAGAAACAAGAGTCTTGTAAAAAAAATGTTGAACATGCTTTCGGAGTTTTAGAATCACGTTAGTATATAATTGTTGGACCAGTTCGATTTTGGTAAAAAAAATGTTCTACATGATATTATCACTAATTGTATTATTATGCCTAATATGATAATAGAAGATGAACAAGATCTCGGTGCACCTACCAGAGAAGTTTTAGAAGCACCACCCTCATAAGTGAAAATGACAACCAATGAAACCATCCAACTTTAACAATTTTTTACTCAACATCGACAAATTAGAGACAAAGATGCCCGTTTCGCATTCCGTAATGATTTGCTAAAGCATATATGAGAATAAAATAATAACTCCACTGAATAATAAATATCGTATTTTATTTGAAATATGAATGTAATGCATGCTTTCTTAATAAATCGTTACGAAATAATAATATTATGTTATCTTTGTTTAATTATTATATCATATTTGTTTTGGTAATATTTAATTATTTATTTAAAATTATTTTATTTGTAATAGTTATTAATAATAAATATTAATTTTTATATATGTAATTTTTTAAATAAAATATAAATTATATATATATGGAGTATAATGTAAAAATAAATTAAAATTAAAATGTAATTTATAAATATAAAAAGTTATATAAAATAATACTCCATCCGTCACTATTGGCCATTTTCGTCCATCCAAAACAATAGTTTCATTTTTATTTTTAGTAACTCACTTCCCACCTTTTTACAAAATTATCCCTATTTTTTCACAATAATTACATAAAATGAACGCATTTTAGTCTTTAAAAAACACTTTTACACCCAATATTAATATAATACTATTATTCCTTGATTGTCTCGTGTTCATCCCAAATGTGCCTATATTGTTTTGGGAAACAGGGAGTATAAAAGAAGAATATATATGTAATACTCCCTCCGTCCCAGATGAAGTGTCTTGTTGGGAGTTGGCACGGGAATTAAAGAATAATAGTATTTAATTGAAAGTGAGTATAAAATAGAATATAAAAGACTAAAATATTCTTACTTTTTGAAGGATTTTAAAAAATAGATTAGAGTAATAATTAAGGGTAGTTTAGAAAAGTATGAATAATTTTGTTATAAAGTGGAAACCACGACAATTGTTTTAGGACGAACGAAAATAGAAAAACAAAGACAATTCTTTTGGAACGGAGGGATTATACGTTTTAGAGTAAAAGGTCAAGTTTATAGTTGGAATAAAATGATTTTAGATCACATATTTTGAATGTAAATCCTGCAAAAATGGAGTGTAAGGATTGGAAATGCCTAAACAAGCAAGTATGTCCCGATAATATATTCGAGTCGAGCTCGAACTTTGAACAACATATACTCGAGCTTGCTATTTCCAAAATCCCATTACTGATTGATCAGATCATCCATATTGCAATGCCATGAAAATGCAGCAAAAAGCTTAGCTAAAATTACCTACGAAGCCGCCGCCGTGGCAGCCATTATCGCTCTCTGCAACTCATTCTCCACATCCATGGCCGCCGCGTCCTTCTCTTCTTTCACCCCATAATTCATCTTGCCATTGCCATTGTCGTCAGCTCCAGCTTTCCTCCTGCTTCGCCACTGCTCGAACCCACTCGGCCTCTCGCCGGAACCCATGATCATCGCCTTCTTCCCTGCAGATTTCATTTCTTCCAATTCCTCTTTCATCTCCTTGTTAACTCTTGTCAAACCATCCAATTCCCTTTTCATCCAAAAACACAGTCCTTTCAATTGATCGAATTCGAATTCTTCCGAATTCCTCTCGACAATCTCCTTCTTCTCGCTGTCTGTTGCAGCCTCGGCTATGGCCCTTCGAATGCCGATTTTGTTGATCCGTAGAACCGGCATTTGGTCGCCTGAGAAATTCACCCACCACCGGAAGTTCACCGAGACGCTCTTCGCCACCGGCAGTTGAGTCGCCGCCGCCATTCGAATCCCCTTGAAGACCGAATTGGAATTGGAATTTGAAACTTCAAATTTCTGCCCTAATTTGTTCTTCTGAGCTGCGGAATTGGGATTCTCAATTTCGTGCCCTAATTTGTCCTTCGGAGCTGCGGCAATCTCCACTGGCACGAATCCATATGAGGTCGAGTCGCCTCCGGCGTCGGCGTCGTCGCTCACGGCGGAATCGGCGTGGGAATCGATCGATTTGCGGAGCGAGAAGGATCCGAATTGGGGCTTTACCAGGAGAGAGAAAGTAGGGTTAGGTTGGGCGAAGGAGAAGTGAGCGGAGATGACGAGAGGGGAGTTTGTGGGGGATCCGAAGACGCCGGTGCCGGATTTGAGAGTGAGACTAAACGGCGGTGCGGCGGCGGCGCAGGAGGCGGAGGCGGCGGTGGTGTAGGAGAATTTGAGGGAGGGTCCGGAGGAGAAGTTGGTGGAGAGAGAGAGGGAGAGGTCGGAGGGATGGGTGGTGGTGGTGGAGAAGTGTGAGAGGAAGGGAAGGTTGAAGATCGTTAGAGGTATTTTGGCGCGTATGAGCACCGGCGACGGCGGTGTTTCACGGTGGCTCTGGTGGTGGTGGTCTTGGAGTTTGGCGGAAATCTTCATTTTCAGACGACGGACTCTTTTGGTGGGGTTTTGGTGTAGGATTTGGCCTTTTCGCCATTTACATTATTTTTATTTTTATTTTTTCTTTATCGAATTTTCGATTTTTGTGAGGCTATAAAAGTTTTAGCACAAAAAATCAATTAATTGATAGTATCATTAGAATAAAATTACAAATAGCTCACTACCATTAAGAACAATTTGTCTTAAAAAATTAGGAGTATTAAATAGATAGTTGATAAATTTTTTATTAATTTATTTTATTGAAAAAATACTTTTGAAGATATTTTATTTATATAAAATTTAAAAAATTAAATGAATGATCATTTAATTTTTATTTACAAACAAATGGTATTAATTTTATTACACTCCTTTCATTCTCTTTAATGAATAATTATTTTTAAAAATATCTTCAATTATATTTTCATTTTTTTATTAAATTTTTACTAAAATATTTATTTTTCTTAAAAGAAATATATATGATGAAGGTAAGAAATACTATTATTATTATTATCAAAAAAAGTTATATTTTAGTTTCATGCATGCATTCTTGTTATTTTAGAGCAATAAGTATATCTAATATTAGATTGGTCTTACAATTAAAAAGTTATTGTAAAAATAGTTCTAAAATCTCGAAGTTGTTGACGTAGTAACGTTATGGCTTGTCGGAGATTTGTACACGATAAAAAATATTTAAGTATTATATTAAAATTATATCTAACTCTTGTATTGAGCTAGTCTTATAATTTAAAAGTTTTTATAGAAATAATCTTCAAATATTGTCAACGTATTATTCATACAAATTTTAAAGTGTCATGGTGTTGCCACATCAGCAACTCCGATTACCGAAGATTATTTTTCATTTTTTAAAATTGTGAGACTAATTTAATATAGAATTTAATTATGGTTCTAAAATAATAAAAAGAGTCATATAAAAAAAATTTATCATCGCTATTCTTATTATTATTCTTTTTTTCGCACAATATATTTGTTTTTTCATTTTCATTAGTCTCAAATAACTTGTTTTTTTTTTTTAAATAAAAATTAATTAATACATTTTAAATTACATAATTTATAATTTTAATTTAATTATTTATTTATATTAATTTTAATTTATAATTAACTTTTATATAATAATTATTTTAATATTAATATATTTTTTCATTTTTTACTAATTACTACTACCTCCGTAATTCAAATATATGCTCAATCCTTTATAAAATACAAAGAGAATGAACATATATTTTAATGACGGAAGATGTATATATATTTTGATAATAGTGTATTTCTTTTGATGAGTTTGAAAAAAATTTAATTTGTATTTGATATAAAAATAATATTTAATGAGATATTTTGTGAAAGAAAATTTTTACACATTTCAAATAGTAAAATTTGGGAAAAAAAAAAAAACACATCCTAAGTTTCAGTGTTTACCTTAAAATATTTCATGTATTTGTTTATTTTTTCTTCTAGAAGAATCAAGCGAGTTGGTACCCTCGAGTTGACTCAGTCACTCACTTTCAGTTTCTGCTCTGCTTGGTCAGGTGGCTGTCTGTGGCTGTGGCTGTTCTCCTCCTTCCTCCTGCATTTCATTTTCACCGTTGCTCTCTAACCATCTCCCTTTGCTCACTGCTGAAGATTTTGGGCGATGTTTTCTATGGCGACAGCGGTGGAACTGCCAACAGGGAGGATGGCTCCTTGCACTTCTCGTGCTGATCATCGCCTTTCCTCGGCCAGGAACATCGACGGGCTGCGCTTTCCGTTTAAATTGAAGAAGAAGACCTTTCGAATAGACGGCTTGCGTAAGGCGGCCAGGATTGTCAATAGCCTCCGCTATGGAGACGGAGATTCGAATCCCCCCGTTACCACGTTTTCCCCCAATGGCTCGGCAGTCACCGTAAGTTTTTTGAGTGTTTGATATCGGATTGATTGATGTGTATGCTATTTATTGTTTGTGGAGAAGGAAATATGAAATTGAAGAAGTTGGTATTGTTTTGGTTTTGGATTAGTGAGTAATTTCTGCAGGTTGATTTTATATGTGAGTTTATATTTTGTGTGGTACTTGATTATATATGTTTGATGGCCAAGGATTATATGCTGATTAAAATATTTCAGCATTGATGCTGAATGCCTTGATAAAATTAACATTTAATTTGTATTATTAATTTATATCATTAATATAATTATTATAATTATTTTTAAACAGTTGATCTGCATCATTGTGTATGTCTCGAAAGTGTTTGGAAGTTTACGAGAGTTCAACCTTATTTGATGCAATGGAAATAGGCTGTTTTGTATATAAAATAGGTTCTTGATGAAATATTTTATGTGAAGATTATGTATTAGATTAGATTTTTTGTTTTAAAAAATGGCCATTTTGATGAATAGTGATGTGATACCCCGGCCGTTGCTTGGCCAACTCTCGTGTGTGGATGAGTCGGTATTGGACCATTTAAATTTGATTAGAGGTTAAATGGATTGAATAGACTATTCATGTACACATTTTTTTTCGGGAGCCCCACTGCAAAGAGCTTTAGAGTTAAGCGTGCTTGACTTAGAGTAATTTGAGGATGGGTGACCCGGGAAGTCTTTCAGTGCGCATGAGTGAGGTCAGAAGCGTCCTGGAAGGACTCGTGTTGACTTGTGGGGCCAATATGCAATTCTGATACGCCCGGCTAAGCGTGGCTTGCGGGTCGAGGTGTCAAAGCTGATGTGAAAACTTATGTAATCAGACCCCTTCTGTTAGAATTGAAGTAGAATATCCACTACATTAATTATTTCTTTTATATGAAAGTCACAATAGTAGATGTGAAGATTCAATTACTTCTACTGGGGTCTGTAGGAAGGTAACTCTGTGTGAATTCACTGTATTATGCTTGCAAGATAGTAGATGATTAATATCTTTCATTCAAAATTCAATTTCTTAGATGAACTACCTATTCTGTTTGTTCATGAGTGCAACGACTCTGGGCACTGATTGGAAGTGCAAGGCTCAAATAAAGCCAACAAGGATGTTATGTTGGGTGTTCCACATCGGACTTTTTTGTTCTTAGTCCTTCCATTTGTATCTATAAGGATGGAGGCTTGACCACTTGGCTTAGCTTTGAATTGCACCAAAAACAACAAACAACATAGTTTGTATATTCTGCAAGTATTTTGCCCTTCTGTTGTCTTGATGGTAGAATTTCATGAGGATTTGAAGAACTCAAAATTTGTAGAGTTTGATAAGAAGAGCCTGTTCAAGTATTCAAAGCCACTATATGCTTCGAATGGTGGAAGGTAAATCATTGCTCTCTCATTTTGATAAACTTGTTACTTTTGTATTCTCTAAGGATTAGATAGATAGAGTACTTTTGTGTTCTATGAGGATCAGATAGATAAAGGCATTACTTGAGAAGATATTGGGGTTAATGTTGAAAGCCTAGTTGTTAGAGTGAGATTGGACAAGGGGGTTATGAAAGTAGTAAATCTAGTTCGAAATCCAGCACTGAAGGTGTAATTATTGTCATAAAAAAATGTGGTACATTACATCTGATTATTTAAATTGGAAAATAAACATAAGGAAAAATCTGTTGGATAAGACGGGTTATGAAAGTAGTAAATCTAGTTCTAAATCTAGCACCGGAATTTAAGTGTAATTATTGTCATAAAATGAGCTACATTACATCTGATTGTTTAAATTGAAAATAAACATAAGGAAAAATCTGTCGAAAGGAATGATAACATAGCTGAAGCCAGTGTTGCAGCTGATGATTATGCGATTTAAATAAATCAGTCTATACTAAAAGATATAAAAATACAACAGATTTCTATTTAGTTTTTTTAAAATCTAATCTAATTATATCTACTAATCTACACAAATCTGGCTGTATGTTACATCAGATTCAACATTCTGTGTGTGTAATGCCACAGAAGTTGGAGTTAGTTTATGAAGATTGGCATGAACAAGGAACAATTTTTTGGAGCCCACTAGTAATAAGCGTCTTTGGTTTGGATTATCTAGTAAGTGGTTTGAAAACTTCATTAACGAGCTATCTCACTAAAGGAATTCCTGTTCCCTAAACGTTAGAGGCCCTTATTCCTATTCCTAAAGGCTTTGGATGGTTCAGTTGGTCTACTTCCTGCTTCAATCAAGTGAAGATGTGGCAGTTTGAATATGGATTGCTTCTAGGAAGTTTCTTAGGGGTATGTGAGTGAGGACAAAGCAGGTACTGATTTGTCGGGACATTTTACCATCACATAGTGCTTCTGGCTGCTATGTTGAGTCAGGGGTATTACAGCCTGGCTTAGGATCTTGTGACTAGTCCAAGTGGTAATTGGCCTTCATGTCACTCCATCCACATTTGTATTATTATAGAATGAGCGGTGATGAACCAAATAGGTGCTTCTAGTTATGACATGAATGAAGGTGGCAATCACATATTAACTTGGGATTAGTAGTAGTGCAATAAAACTTGTTAAATTAGTAAGTGTTATTTATATCGATTGTGACTCTTTTCCATGAAGAATCTTAGACACAGATATAGTTAAATTCTTTAGAAAACGGCAAACACTATTGCAGTAGCAAGAAAATAAAGATAATACACTTCTTCTTAAAAATCTGCCAAACATGGTGCTTGTCCACAGCCTCTTTTGCATGTTACAGCATCAAACGTCTCCTTCCTTAAGCTTTTTCAAAGTTTGTTGAGATTTTACAAATGCTAAAAGATTCCAGATATCCTTTTCCTTTGTCCTGAGGCTAGGCAGCTATTTATAATTGTGCATCATCAGGCTTCTTCTGTGGGGGAAATCTTGGAGGTTACCTCAATCAGTCATTATCCTTACTTCCCCTTTTTATGTTGATTTTGAGGTTTTCTCAAAGGTGCAAATGAGGACTTGATTCTGAGCATGAATTGACAGTTTTCTTCAGCCCTTTTGATGTGATTGTTGAGAGATTAACATGTGTTGAAGTTCATTGAGAATGAGTTCTTCGACTGGCGATAGATGAACAAGTGTTGACCCTGGGGAACTTATGAGATGTCTCCCATGGTCCAAAAATTGGCCAGATTAAATCAAATGGTCTACAATATGGTAGGCACCAACAACATGCTAGCCAAATATCATCGTTTGCCCTTTGGATTTTGGTGCTATCTCAGGGGTGCTCTGCAAATCCAAATTTCAAGTTAAATGCTTTCTAACCTACTGTCATGTGTATCATATTTGCTTTTTTGATTTATAGAAAACTGATGCAATATTGGTTCTATTTATTTTCGCACTATTGATTTGTTCATATATACCTTTCACTCATATAATTAATTGATTATTGACATAGCCTGAAAAACGTGCATCATGAAGTAAAGTTTGTTTTGCATTTCAGTTGGGTGCTGATGGCCTACAGCTAACACGTGTTAATGTAAATTCTCAAAGGAAAACAAAGATTGTCTGTACAATTGGTCCTTCGACCAGCACACATGAAATGATTTGGAAACTAGCAGAAGCTGGAATGAATGTGGCACGGTTGAATATGTCTCATGGTGATCACGCATCACACCAGAAAACCATAGATCTGGTCAAGGAATATAATGCGCAGTTTGAGGACAAGGTTATTGCCATAATGCTAGACACTAAGGTATGTTTCTTACTACTTTACAAAGCTAAAGTTGAATGCTATTGCAGCTTATAAGTAATGAATGAAGAGTAGTGACCTATCACATTATTTACTCATTTCCTACACAAATGTCATATAACATGAAAATCATATCATTTTGTTATTTTTTACAATAGAATGTTTGGTTTAATGCTTAATTCATTTCAATCATATCCAATTCATCTTATACTTCAATTTATTTGTGAATAATGTTGTCCTACTTAACTTATAATTAATTAGAGCCCTTTTATTTATTAAGCAGTATTGTTGTCTTGGTCTATTTGACTCACTATTGTTCGTTAGACTTCTGAAACTAGTTAGGAATGAGACCTTGGCTGGTAAGCAGTCTTCTTTCGCCTTGGTCATATACTGATAAAATTGGACAGTGATGTTTGATTTGTGTATTTTGTGGTGACTGTTGAGACAGGCTCACAATATCTTTTTTCTGGCGTCCTAATTATTGGTTGTGGTTCTTTTCTTTTTTGATCATTTATTTATTTTCCAGCACATAGGTGAGAATACAATGCTAAATCTGGAAACTAAACTAAAGATTTGCCATAATTATGCCAGAATCATAAGATTCATAACACCAAAAAGGCAGTGGTCAGCAAACTATTGATTTAATTCTAACTGTTCTATTACTCATGTGGCACATTGGATGGATGATATTTAAAATGGATAATTTTATAATTCAACTTCGGTTGCCTATATGTTAGTGTAGTTGCTGACATGATGGGCGTGTTTACTTATGTATATATATATAATTTTGTGTGTGTGTTTTGGATTTTGATGTTTTTGAGGTGAAATAGTTGTTAAATATAATGTTTTATATTGAAACTGTGTTTTAAATGCACTGCAATACATTTCCAAATTTGGTGATAAGACAATAACAACATACTTTTTCATATAAAGCATATTGTTGACATAGTTGGCAATAAAAGCTTGCTAAATTATATACCAAACTGTAATGTCCTTTCTAACATTATGTGTTGTGCCTAAAAAATGTGTTCGATATCATAATAAATGAATTTATTTTAGTTAGATTGTATTTGTTTATTTTATTGTTTTACTGAATGATTACGAGGCTTATGCCTTTAACTCATTGATAGGTGCTTTTCAATAAATATTGTTTTGCTTGAGTTAATGTAATTAAATATTAAGTAATGGTCTTATATATGTTAAATTATAAATAAATATGTATATTTAGTTTACACTATAATTAGGGTTGAAATGGATTTTTTTAGCATTTTTTTTTTATCTTACTTTCATCTACCTTGCTTGTGTATCCATCTTCTTCTCTGTACTTCAGTTGCCAATTTGAAATTGGTGAAGTCTTCGAAGTCCATGCATTCATAGGTACAATTTCCTTTTATCCCCAAGAAGAATGATTAATTAAACCAATAGCTATACGTTGTAGTAATGGTTATAATAACTCTATTATTCAAAATAGTTGTTCTAAGGGTTTATTCTTCTTGTTAATCCCTACTCTATCTTAATTAAACTTATGCTTAGCTTGATATGGATTTGGGATATCAATAAAGAATGCTTTATTGCATGATGGTAGTGAAGTGTATTTCTTGGACAAGGATGTTGGTTGGATATATGGGTTGCCATATGTTGTGAATAGGTAATACATATTTTTGAACAAGTCAAGAGGAATTTCATTGATATGCTGAAAAATTGTTGGTGAGTTCAAGCAAAATGGAGAAGAGAAAATATATAAAGTGTTGTATATTGTTAAATATATATTGGATTTAATTGTATATTATGGGCCTAGTCCAAAGTAGTAGCCCAAAGTAGACTAGATTTTTGTACTTATATCTATATGTAATATGTAAATTAGTTTTGTTAGATGAAATAGATTATATGAGATTACATGGTATCAAAGCAATAATAGGGTTTTGGAGTAGGCTGTTTTGGAGGCTAATCTGTCTCTCACTGCCGCTGCCGGTGAATTCCTGGTCTGTTCTGCTGGTATTCTCTTAAAATCCCTGGATAGCAATTGGTTGGCTGTGTGATTAATTTATAGTGCAATTCTGGGTGCAAGTTTGGTGTTTTCATAATGGGGGATAAGAAGTTAGATTTAGGGATGGGAAAGATTGTTCTTGATGCAGTACCGACTATTATGAGGATCACATAATACATATTGAAAATGGGTCGAACTACCTTGAGTAGTCTAAAACTATCAAGATGCATCTAAGAAGTATTAGTAAAGCTAATAATCTAGACAGGGACCCATCCTTAGTTGCAGACTCATGTTATGATGATTGGTTAAGGGATGATTCCATATTATTCCTCCAAATCACGAATTCAATTGAGGCTGATATAATGAGTTTAATTACTCACTGTGATACGTTTAAAGACTTGTTAGAATACTTAGGGTGTGCTCTTTTTGTGAAAAACACTTTTCCCCAAAACACATCTCCCAAAAAAATTAATATATTACATATTTATTATTTTTATATTCCTTACATAATTCTCTATACTTCACATAATAAGTATCTCTTCAAACAATTTCACTAAACAAACAAACCTTTAGGCTTCTTATACTATGGGGAACAAATGTTTCGCATATCTATGATGTTTATCAGAGTTTTTATCAAGCCGAACAATAGGATCAGTCACTTCAGGCATATTTTATGAAGTTCAAAAGAACTTATGTGAGTTAAATATGTTGATGCCATTAGCCTTGATGTGCGTGTTCAACAACAACAAAGAGAACAAATGGCGGTGATGAGTTTCTTGGCCGGGCCACACTCTCGCTTTGACAATGTGCGGTCTCAATTACTTATTACTTTGATGTTCCCCAGTTATCTACAGTTTTCCAACGCTTGAGTCGTATGGGCATTGGACTTCTTTTACTCTTGTACATGCATTGGTTAGCCAGCGTGACAGCACTTCGTCCCGTCAAGCTAAAGGCAACTCATTGGATACTCGTGGTGCTTTCACTGGTGGGGGAATCACTTGCTACTCTCATGAACTTGGACATACTAAGCGATTGTGCAAGAAGCTGAAGAATCGGAATCAGAAAGTTCATGCAGCAAATGTGACTACATCCAACAATAAATCTCACATGGTTACTATTCCTGCCGATGAGTATGCTCGGTTTACTGTGTCCCAAGATAGCTTGGTGAATTCATCTAAGTCAATTAGCACAACAGCTGATTCAGGTAATGTAGATAAGTGTCTTATTTTCTCTGCTTTCAAGTGGGCCACGATTCTTTCTTTTTGTGATCTCTTTGTAACGTGTCCGGAAGCTGACACGCCCGACGCCTAGGCCACGCTCGCACTGAGGCCCAGACCAGCTGTGTCTTGCGCATAACACGCTTTTGATATACTATATAGTATGGGAGAATCATGCGGAACACGTACCTGCATCAAAACATATGCCGTTCATTAGCCGTATAGGACAGGGGCTCGCACACATGGGACGGATTATGACCGAGAACCTGAGGCAGGAATGTCAACCCGTGACAATACTCCCCCACTTAAAGTTGCAAACGCCCTCGTGTGACGATACTTAAGTGCACTAACGTTGTTTCTTGCACCCTCAGTATGCCTCTGGCGTCACTCCATTGACCTTTTTCTGCATACCCTCATTCTTTGTGATCACCAACAGCCAGCGAGATCTTTGGCCATATACAACACATGCGACCCACGTTCTGCCGCACGTCTCCGCACACCATCCGTGATATCCTTTATTGCGGCTTATGCATTCTTCGTCGGAAGATCGTCCTTAACGTGGTTTTTCAATCACGAACAAAGCTCGGCCCTCTTGGCCCTTCAGCAACGTTGAGCATACTCCTCCCATTGGGATCACTCATCTCTTAGAATGTCAAGTTACCATAGGACGTACTTCTCCTTGACCTGCCCGGCAACGTCGAGCATACTCTCCCACCCTGGTCTAGGCCATGCCCGCGCTTAGGCCTAGACCAGCCGTCCCCTGTGCGCACCACGGTCGGGATATACCATATAGTATGGGAGAATAATGCGGAACACGTACTTGCACCAAGACATATGCCGTTCATATTAGCCGTAAAGGACAGGGGCTCGCACACATGACATGGGACGGACTATTGCCGAGAACCAGCGGCAGGAATGTCAACCCGTGACATCTCGGAACAGACGTCTGTGTTCAAAAGGAATGAGTAGAACCGGCTTCACGCTGAAAACGCTTAGAACACCTAAAATACATGATCACATCAAGCCAAAAAATTAGAATAACGATAACAATGAAAATATGATAAAACTCTATAGCCATGGCTGCGCTCAGGAGAGCTGCCTACGTACCCGAAATCGGGATCAAGCCATACGTAGTTCTCAATCTATACAAAGTCAAAATACAACAATCTAGACCTGCCATAGAAGTCTAAAGTCTAAACAAATCAATCAAAAGGAGCTAAAAAAGTCATCACCTAAAAAACCAAGTAAAGGCATGCAACATCTATCACAAGACTAACAGAACCTGAAATTTGGAACGCCGTGTGCTCGATGAAATCAACGAGCCGCCATGGGAATATCCACCGAGCTAAGAGTCCGATCGCCAGGAAGGAAGGGAGCAAACAACACTCGCCAAGGCGTCCGCCACTCGGTTTCCTTCACGGTATATATTGGAGATTCTCCAAGTGATGTCGCGCAACTGTAGTCGCAATCGGTGAAGGCATTCTATAAGGTCCAATGCCGCGTCGAATAAATGATCAAGGCGATGCCATATGCAGAGTTTGTCCCGATCCACAAAGGTAAGAGGGGGCGCTCCACCCCCAAAGGTAAGACGACCGTCAAGGTCCGCTTTGATATCAAATGTAATGTGTCCTGAAGCTGACACGCCCTGAGCCAAGGCAACGCCCGCGCTTAGGCCTAGACCATCCGTCCCCTGTGCGCAACACGCTCGGGATATACCATATAGTATGGGAGAATAATGCGGAACACGTACCTGCACCAAGACATATGCCGTTCATATTAGCCGTAAAGGACAGGGGCTC